CAGGGAGACACCAACCCTGTCCCAGCCCATCCAGGACTCATAAATAAAACCACTTCCCACTCAAAAGTTTCTCCTAAAGGAATAAAGGTGCAGCCCAGTGATGTGCAGAAACAAAGTCTGTTACGGCGCCGGGTGCAAGGGGGATTGCCCCTCCAAACCTGCACACCAAAGGGACAAAAAGCTGAGATTATATGGGGTAAAATTACACATATTCATATAACTACTTATACATAATCATTAGAGTCCCGAGAAGAGGTGGAGATATTATAATCAGTTCCAGGAGCTCATCATCATAGTTTTCCCCCCTCTGCATTTGCGCCTTATCTGCTGGTGGTGGGCTGAGGTCTTCAGGAGGAAGGCAGCAGTCTTTCTCCCAGTAAACTCTTCACCCTTGGCACGACTTGTTGCGTTCTCTGGTTCTTGCTGCTTTGCACACAGCTGTGGGGCTTAATGAGCAATTAAGCTCCTGCTTCAAACTTACAGAAGATACATAGTTTCTGTTACCTAGCCAGGCATCTGAGGTTTTTCCACTTCACCAGTACTTTTTTTTTTTCCTTTTAAGCCCTCTCAAACAACAAGCATTTGGATCATTGTGCTTGTTTCATTTGAGATTAAGCATTCAAGCATTGCAGGTTTAGGAGAAATCTGTGGTTCTCCTGTAATAACTGAACTCAAGCTTGGTCTTGAAGTCCAGCTGTGTCTTCTGGTACCTTTGCTATTCTAATGTGGGATGTAGGAAGAGGTATCTAGAAGACACATAAGCAGGTACTTTTTGGCTTGCAGAGATTACTGGTGATACATGAATATCCAAATCATAGCTTGACCCCTGGATTGTTTTTGCAGAACTAGGTTTAGCAAATTCAACTTGGGACCATGTGACAGGTACGGAATTCTGTAAACCTTCCTGTTACATTGGATTCCCATTTACAGTCTAGGTGTAGCTCTTGCAGAGGAATCATCAAATCAGGAGCTTCATCCTCAATTTCAAGGGCTTTTTTTTTGCCTTTCTGTAAAGTGGCAATAACTCAATCACCAGTGGGTACTCCAGGTACAATGTTTTGTGGCTTATTTGTGTCTCTGAAAAGAGAGAGAGAAACATCATAGAAATTTAATAATGATCTGTCTAAATGTTATCTCTTAAGCATTCATTTTATTTAGGTAATGTTTTATCCTTGCAGGGAAGAGCACACCGTGACCAGCAGCTCGTGTTACTCAAGGAGCATCTAGAAAAATATTACAGGAGCCGCAATCGGAAATGGATTGTTTTATTTCCAGAGGGTGGCTTTCTTAGAAAAAGGAGAGAAACAAGTCAAAAATTTGCCAAGAAAAACAATTTGCCATTTCTTAAACATGTCACCCTGCCAAGACTTGGGGCAACACAAGTAATTCTGAAAACGCTTGTAGCGCCACAAGAAAATGGAACTCCAGCAGGTAGAGATGCTGTGATAAAAGGTAAAGACCACTTCGCTCTCGTGGATAGAAAGCAAATTGAATGTCCAAGGTTTGAGTTATGCAAAAAGTTTTGTGTTGAATTAGTCTCTTTAAATGTCAAGTAGATCCATAATGCACCATTGTATTTATATAAATGTTCTTATATTTGCTTTTGGTTCCACTAAGCTTATTTTTAAAGACACAAAAAAAAAATAAAACCTTGGTTTTAATTTGATTTTGTCTACAGTGTGGCTGCATGAGTGTTTGTCTTGGTACACACTGATAGAGCAAATACTGGAATGAGCACTCAGAGTGGTCAAGAAGGCAGGCTGCTTCTTTCAGCACAACTTATGTTTTGCACTGGTTTATGGTAGTATGGAACTGTAGTGAAAGTCTTTCTGGAATATGCAAAATAGGTTCAAATTTTTATTCCTAGTTTTAAAAGTTTCTTTGCATCCAGTACTGTGAACTTCATTTCTCTTCTTGAATTATTTTCTGTTCAGTTCAAGTTCTTCTGTTCTCTGCAGATTTTTATGATGACCGTCCCCTTTGTTGCTGGAATTAACTACCCTTAGTGACTAGTTTGAGGGATTGTTTTGGCTTTTTTATGATAGAAGAGTTAGGAGAGAATAAGAATATTCCTGCTACATTATAATTGGCAGATGCCTGGGCTGTAAGGGAGAGTATAACTGGGATATAAATAATGCCTGTAGTTATGGGACTTGGTGCTTTTAGTGTCTCAGTTTTTAAAAGTAACTTCTTCACACATTCAGAGAGCGAGGTTAGATCTTACTTCACCTAGTTGCAGATTTCTGTAAGTTACTATAGAAACACTGCTTTAGGGGTTAGTGGTGGTTTCTTATTGATGAGTGCTGCTGATATTTCCCTAGCCAAATTATTATAATCATTTAGCACTTTGAACCAGAGATCCATCCTGGTGAAGCCACACCAACTTTGGGATTTTTTTTGTCCTGAAGTTCAAATTTCTGTGTTAGCAGGAAGCCTCACACAGGAATTGCTTCCAGATTTTGAGTTTTGAAGTTAGTCTTGTCAATATAGGAAATGAATGGAAACAATGTTTTTATTGGAGTGGAGGGAAGATTTTAAATGAACTGAAAATCAAGCAGTGGAATGCATCACAGTATTTCCTTTCAGGCTACATTCAGAAAAGAAAGGCTGAAGAAAGCCCTTGTAGTCTTAGAATATTTTAGGTTTAAAAAAGAAACAGAATACTGTAGACCTAGTTAAGTTATTTTTTAAGAAGAGTTTGGCCTGTTCCTGTTCTATATATTTATTCCCATCTGAATGGCAAAAGGCTATGAAAAATAAGAAGTTTGCCAGATGTGAATTACAGAGCTTGTTCTGGAAAGGGACCAGAAGCACTCGTCAAATACCAATTTTATATTTTCCTGCTCTTAAATTGCTATCAAAGTACCTGAATATCAGACCTGGCTTGCCTTTTTGTGTGTGTGTTTTTCTTTTTCCTGCCCTTTTTGCAGCATGATTCAGACTGGAGAAATGAGCATTTCATAGTAGTTGACCTAACTGTGTGCTAAAATAAAGAAATTGTCTTAGAAATACAACAGAACCGCATCTGTTCTACTCAAAAGCCAGAAAGAAAGAAAAGTGGGCAAAAATAGGAAAGAAATGTATGGGTTTAGCTATAATTCTCTAGCTGACATGAAAAGATATTAAAAGAGATGAAAGAGAGAAGAGAGGGTAAATTGTATATGCTAGGAAAGAGTAATATTTGATATATGTGAAGCTGAGGTATTTTAAGTCCTCTTAAGCTCATGAAAATTTTTCTGACCTTGTAAAACTTCCCTTTCAGAGATGTACGAAAGGTTAATTCTTGATATGTATCTTATAGAAAAGACTCTAATCATCTGCCTTCCAAATACTTTTACTGTACTTTTGGCACTTCAGAAAACTTCTAAAGAAAGTTTGTTCAGCTAAATGAAATATACTTGTATAAATTGGTAAGGTTATAGTATAAAGTTTTATATGAATTGGTACGGTTATAGTATAAAGTTAGAAACCTAACAAGTTAATGATAATCTTTACATTTTATCCCTTTTATCTTTCCCTTTTTTTAATCACATTAAAAAACCTGGCTCAGTGGAATTAAACTTGCCTGTATCTTCTTTGGGTTACCATTGTTGATTCATGGGTGCTAGAACCAGGTGCAGCATATACAGTAAAGGTTTTGCCAGTGTCTTTCATGGAGATCACGTTTAAGCTTTCTGTCCATTTTCTGTACTCCTTAGCTTGGAAAGCAGCTTGTGCAACAGCAGCATCACACTAGAATTTCATGGTCCACTGAAAACATTTTTCCTCTGCGCTGCTGCTTCTTGTGCTCTCTACTGTCTTATTTAACAGTGTTCCTGGGTTACCAAATTACTCAGCTTACTATTATAAGCTTGCTTCTCCATTATTTATCATTCTCTCAATCCTTTTGTTACTGCCAAGCTTTACTGATAATGATGGGGGTTCACCTTCCTCCACAGTCTGATTTTATTTAAGCTGGTTTATAGGTTAAGATAGCTCCTCATCAAAAATTACTTCCCCTTCCTGCTCAGTTTCCTAGGTAGCTGTGTTATGATGAAATACACAGTTGCAGTGTTCTTGACAGCTGTCATTTTATTAGTACTTGATTCATTTAAAATTGTCCTTTTAGACTTTATACTGTTCTAGATTTTATACCATGCTGCTTTCCCAGCTGGAATGGTGTGTAATACTGGCTGTAATGAAGGATGGTGCATTCGTAACAGATTGCTGTACTGCACCCTGATTTGATACAAACCAAGTTGCATACAGTAGTATCATCATGTCACTCCCCAGCTTTCTTTTGGATGTTAAATATCACAGGAGTTGACAGCCTTCAAATAGCTGTGGCACAGCTCTTGAACTACTAAATGCTATATCATCTGTCCTTTCTGTAAGGTCTCTAGTCTGATTTCTGTCATCCCTTTGGCAGAGGTGGGTTTCTGTTGTGAAGTGCAAGGTTCAGTAGCCTCCTCAAAATTTCATTAGCCTTAATGATGATATTAGTATTCTTAATATCCAAGCCTCTTTTCAGTTTATTTTTGTTATAATTATGAATTTCCCACAGTTTAATACCTGATTCTTCCTCTAAAGTGGCAGAAAGAAGAAATGTTTCTGAGCTAGTTGATCAATACTGTTTGATTCTTTATTAGTTGCTTTTCCAAGGCAAGAAGCCTTTCTTAGTTTCCTGTTCTGAACATTTTTCCAAGCTTTCTTTCATATATTTAAAGTCCCAAGTACTAGCCTTCATCAGGGTAGTAATGTACCTTATTGCTGGTAAATACTAAATTAAATTACTAGAACACTTGTTGCTTTTGCTGCCTTTTGAAATACTTGTTTAATTTTAACAAAATTGTCATATTTTATTCCTATACAGAAGGATAAAAAACCAAAGGTAGTGCTATTACTTGATGACTAGAGTGATTCTGAAGCTAGAAACTATAGACAATGTAGTTAAATGTCCCTGAAAAGTTGGTATAAGTTAAATCTGGTGTCTGATGGAAGCATCCATCTGGACAGATGTGCTGTGTGCCCAAATAGAGTGCTGCTGCCAGCACCTGCATTCCAGGAGGATGTTTTAGTGCAGAACAGAAATGTGGGCAGCATGAAGGTACTTGATGCGTATCCATCAGCACGTTAACCCTGTAAGGATCAGTATGTTGGGGAGTGGGTTTGGTATGGTTTTGTTTTTCTTTAATTTTTTAATCGAGTGCTTAGTCTCTGACATAGTCACAAGCACAATGTTTCTTCATTTCATAAGAATTGCACTTCTTGTGAGTTTTAGAACTAGCAAAATGTTCTCAGTGCTCAGCAGTTGGCAATTCAAAGGAGTTTGGAGCAGTTGCTCACCGAAGATAGGTGTTCCAGGGCTGATTTTGGATCAGCCTTACTCTGCTATGGTTTTTGTGTTTGGTTGTGGTGTTTTTTGTGTGTGTGTTGTTTTTGTTTGGTTGGTTTGGGTTTTTTTTGTTTGTTTTGTTTTAATTACTTTGTGAGTGTTTGTTTGTTTTTTGTGTGTGTGGTTTTTTTCCTTTGTTTATTTCTTGGGGGTTTTTTTTCTGCTTTATTTTGCCATGCAGCACTGATAAGAGGTTGCTCTGGTTAGAACCATATTGAAATCTTATCTTAATGTTTTCAAATGCAGCACAGTACATTCAGTTCTGATGCTTTTTCTCAGTGGAATTCAATTTTCTTTTCTGCAGAGCTAGGCACTGGATTTCATAATTGATTTTTTTTTTAATCAAACTTTTTAATTCACTGTTATATGAGGAATGTGACTTGAATAATACGTGTTGTTTTTTTCTTTTACCGTGGAAAAGGGTCTTATTGTTTTGTTCCAGGTGATTTGTTATGAAGAGGTCTTGGGATAGTGAGTAAGATGTTCAGTCTGAGAGCTAATCTTTGGGAAAAGAGCCAATTTTAAGGTCAGTAGTCCAGTTGATCACACAAGGACAAGCAGGGGACAAGCAGCAAGTTACAAGGAGGCATTACTGTGCAGGGGGAAGCAAATGGAGTCTTTTGGCTGTATTTAGAGTGTTGTAAGCATTCAGGAAGCCACACCTGAATACTAGTGAACGCTAGTAAATATTGTCTTTTTCAAGTGGAAGCTGCAGTGCTCAGGTTCACACCTGGCTGCTGGGTTCTTTGCCACTCCAGATGCAATCCAGCAGTATCACACCCTCCAGAGCTCAGTTGGAGGCAAGGTTTTCTGCTGAAACCTGTCTGTGGAACTTTCTCTTCTCAGTGGTAAACACTGGCGGTCTGCTGGCTGCTTTGGAGAGTTCTGCACATAGTAAAATCTGGCTTTTAGCATTAGATGAGAGTGTAACACCAGGGAGGACGTAGAGGGGACCAAGAGAAGCTCCAAACCCCACTGAATTTGTGATTGTAGACAGTCAAGTATCTGCTGTGAAAGGACCACAGAGGATGATGGAGCACCGAATGTCTTAAGACACTGATGGCAAGTTGCTTCGTAACTACATGTGAAGTAACTTACTATCACTGAATCCATGGCTAGAAAATAAGGAAAAAAGAAAATAGTTCTGAAGATTTGCCTCTGCTCGTGGTTTAAAAAGTAAACCCAACAAGTTAAGAGACTGATTAATTTGGTTTGTTTTTTTTTTTTTGTCTCTGCCAGAAAGCTGCTGTTACATGTGACTGGTCAGTCTTGTCTTAGCATTTAACATGAGTATGTATCCTTCTTACTAAGGTACATTATCACTACGTGGCTTGGATGCAGCCATGTAGAACAGATGACATAAGTGTTCAAAACAAGCCTGTTTTGAACATTTCTGTACTGTTTAAAAGGAATCAGGCTGGTAACATTTTGAGGCAATTTGAGGAGTCTGAATCCTCCACCTGTGCTCAAGTGACACCGCAGAAATAAAAATAGTTCTTGGAGAGACCAGATTAATTTTGGCCTCTGCAGCAGTTTCTTGTGCTGAAGTCTGTCAGCCAGGCTGCTCAATCTTCCAGCAGGTACTAGAAATGAAGGAAGAGGGTATCTTTTAATGTCAGGTAAGTTTGAAAGGGTTTGGCTGTCAGAAACATCTGTGACTGTGTTGGCCAAGCCAAACTTGGCAGGAGGAGTTCTTGAACAGGTATACACAACTCCCTTTTGTGGTTTTTTTGTTTGTTTTTAGCTAAAAGGCCAGACCTGAGATTCACACCATATTATAACTAATACAGCAGTCTTTCTTTTCTGAATTCCTGTTAATATGCTCCTTTTAAAGAAATAACAGGGTTTATTTTTGTTCAAAGGTGTGCTTAGGCTTGAAAGCAGCATCCTTGAGCATAATGAAGTCCTACCCTTTGTGCTGTGTGCAGTTTTCTCTTTTCCAGTGTTAGCATCTGTTAGATCTTCATGACTTTCAATTAAATATGCTCATGAGCAGGGCATGGCACAGTATAACCCCCCCAAAAAAGAACAGCAAGATTTATTTCAAAATTAATTTTCTAGAATCCTTGGAGACTTAGGGTTTTTTTTGGCCATGTGAGATGATGGATGATTATGTAAGGCTAATTTAAATAGGAGCATGCAGAAATATGCCTGACTGGGATTTGATTGCATGTCTTGGTAATTGCACATGGAGGTAGCTGTGCTAAGACCTGCTTGCTTCTACAGGAGGATCTGTGGAGGCTGATGTTACTGTCAGATTTATTATATTTTAATTATTTTTTTTTAACTCTTAACCTCGTGGTCTGTTAGAAGCAGGTTTTTCTCCCCACCCTGCTGTGGTAGGGGGACTACATGTGAGTTTGGAGCTGGTCTGAGGAATCCATGCAGCAGCTCCACTCCACAACAGCAGAAGTTAGGAAATCAGCATGGAAGAGGATTGCAAGAGTGTTCCCATAACTAAGTTTGATCCATGAGCTACTGAAAGAACAGTTTGAAATATTAGAAAAATATTTAATAAATTAATTTAAAACATTTTACTGTAAATAATAAGATAATGTGCCCGTACTCATCTGGCACTTTTAATTGCAATTAATGATCTTTGTTTCTTACTTTTCTTAGGCCATTTACTTCTCTTTATCCATTCTTATTTCACATCTGGGAAAATTATGAATTGACTTACTTCCTTTTGAAATCCATTTCTAAGTGAATACTCCTGTGGATTTACTATTAATTTCATATTGGCTGTTCTCTAATACATTGCTGTTTTTAAAATGAAAGACTCCGTAGTTAGTGCTTTTTTTAAGACTTGACAAGCACTCTTATCATGATGCTGGCAAGGCTGGAGCCTCTAGTGAGACCTCGTGTTCTCATTTCACCTGTCAGGGGTTTAACATACGGGATTTCCAGAAGGTGACACTGGATGTTTCAGCTTGCCCTTGGTTAAACTGGGATAGCACCACTACTACTAACTTATAACCTCGATGTTAGGAAATGCTGTCTCACCTTATTTAGGTGGTGCATTTGTAATGAAGCAGTATGACCTGTTGTTGACCAGACATCATGAAAACACAAGCTGCTTGTTAAAATAATTGACAGATATATACGATAGTGTTGCTGTAACTGTCTTCTCACAATCAAGTGCGCTGCAAATTAAATTAAATAAAAAGCAGGTAGAAACTTGTGAGTCACATACACGTCTGTACTAGCTGGCACTGATAACTGCTGCACTGAGAGTGACCTTCAACTGCTGCAGATTCCTTCACGTGTGTGGTAGCTCTACTGTAAAATTTGAGTGGTGATTCTGGGCAAGACCAAAGATCTGTCTGGCACAACTTCTTGTCCGTGACTCCAACTCTGTTGTCAGAGGAGGAGTGTGAACACAGGGGACATGCATCATAGCTTCTCCCACATACTCTCCTAACTTCTCTTCCCAGCGTGGTAGGTTTCCCAAGCCAGGTGGGGGTTTCTGCCTGTTTAGTTAACCCTCCAATGGATTTCTTCCATGTACTTGTCCAGTTTCCTCCTGAACCCACCTCTTTGCATCCTTAATATCCTTTGGCAAGAAGTTTATTCCCCTCTGCATGAAGAATCATTAAGGTTGGAAAAGACCTCCAAGATCTGAGTCGTCACTCCTCTGTTTGTTTTGAAAGCTTTTCCTCTTGGCTTCATTTCAAATACATATATTTTTGTATCAAGAAAGATGGTGAACAGTCTATCCCTTCATGATGACAGTTTTTGTCAACCTCTATTCTATTTTCTTCCTTGCTATCTCAGCTGCAGACTTGAAGAGTCTTGTATTTTATACTAAGACCTAACACCTCTTACATGCATCTGCCAACAGCTGGCTTTTTTAATAGCCAGTGTTTTAAATGCCTTAAGATATTCCAGGGTGTGATGTAAGGATATTACTATACTGATGCATTATGTACTAAGCATTAATTAAGCATATTACTATATGAGCCCAAATGTAACATGACCTCAGATACAAGGCAGCTCCAGTTCCCACAGAGTAGATCTAAATTGAGAAGCTAAACTCCCAGTGCCTTCTTGGGAACATGCCCCTCATTCCTGGTTTGCCTTCCAGGTCTGCTGCTCTTCCTCTTTGCAAAACTGAATTGAAGACATGCCAGAAAGAGGTCACAGCTAGGCTGATATCTGACCTTGACTATTGCTAGTAGTAACCTATGCTCAGATTTAAATTTGACTCTCCTGAATAATCTTCATAGCAAATATTTTCACCTCCTTTTGATCTTTTTTTTTTTTTTTTCAGTTTCTAAATATGCTGGGGAGAATATGAACACATACTGGTATCAGTCTTTCTGAGACCCTCTGGGTGCAGTATTTTTTCCTTTGTGAAAACTGACTATCTTCTATTCATTACTTGCTTGTTTTTAATATAGAAGGTGTTGTATTTCCTCTTTATCCATACCTCAGATGTTTAAGAACTTTTGAGAGTTTTTTTTTAAATGTCTTTGTAAATCTAACTATGCTGCATGACACAAATCACCTTTATCTGCTTGCCCTAACCCAGTAGTTAGGCTGGTTGTCCAGAGGGAACTGCAACTTTGAGCTCTTATGAAGGTCCAGTTGTAAATGTGCTTAAAGCAGAGACCAAGAAAGTTGGATTTTTATTTTTGAAGTTTTCCTTTTGGTGAATGGAGGGAAGCACCTAATGTTTGGGCCAACATGTTATGTGCATGTACTCACACCCACTGAGTGAGCTTGTTCTGTTCTGTGTGCTACAACAGGTAAGAACAACAGAAATTTTAAATAACGTAAAATCTTGGTCTAGCTTAAGGTTTTAAGAGTATTTCCATGCTCTGTAATGAAATCTGAATTTGATTTTTGGCTGTCTTACATTTTGTGCTTCATACCCCATGAAGTAATATAAACATGTCATTCAATTGATAGTTATTCCATGTGCTTTCTGATTACTTCTAATATCGTGTTTCTTTGTTCCTAGAGAGCAAATCAAAAGGACTCCAGTGGGTGATAGATACAACCATTGCATATCCCAAAGGTGAACCTATAGACATCCAAACTTGGATCCTTGGCTACCGACAGCCAACAGTTACACATGTACATTACAGGTAGGAAAAAAACCTTCTGCTTTTACGTTGAACTGAGATATTCACAAGTATTCACCAATTAGCAACCTCACGTTTCAGGATGTGTGAAATCAGTAGCAATGTATTTTTTATGTGTCTTACACAGGTAGGCAACTCATATTATGTAAACACAACATAGTTTTCTTTTCAAAAGTTCATTGACCGTTCTCCATCTTAGCATAGCACATTTAAGATTTTGCCTAATGTCCTGTGGCTGAATGTAGTTATGGGGAATAGTTTTGATGACTAGGTGATCTTCTCCACTTTAATGTTAAGGTGCTGGTAAACCAAACTTGATTTTTTTTTTTTTTTTTTTTTTAAATAACGGCATCAAACTATAAAAAACATGGTTATTAAGTAACAAGGTTCCTGAGAGTTTATTATATGTTGTATTATTTTTCTGACGAAGAGATTTCATCCTTTTCCCTGAAAAGCGTACACTTAATAGCTGAATAGAGCAACACTCTGGAAATAGTTACAAATCTCATTGACACTTAGGATAAGATACTAGTAAAACTTTTCTCCTGAACAATTCTTTGTCTCAGGACCTAAACTAACAGAGAGAAGTTGAGTTTTGCTTTTGGTTTGCAGTTAATTGCAAGTCTGAAATATTGTAACACGCTTCCTTATACCAGATAAGCTGATCATATTTTATCCCAAAATTGTATTATTTTGTATTAATTCCATTTTGCTGATTTGGGGAGCTTTTAGACTTTGGCAGCAAGCTTTCAGATCTCCTTGTGTGAATCCCCTGGGTGGCAGTTTAACTGGGGATGACCTTCTCCAGCATTGCTGCTGTGTCAGTGTTGTGTGGTGCAGTGTGCAGGCTGCTCACTGGAGCTCCGTTCCACAGCCGTGTTGAAATCTGTCCATGCTTTTTACAGAATTCAAGTTTTTCCAAAGGTGAACAAACTTACACTCTAATTTATGTAAGATGTCATCGTATCTACTGTGCTTTATTCACGTCACCTTAGTACTCTCTCACATCTCTTGAGGTACTTGCAAGTTGGATGTGTTTAGAGTTTTACGGAAGTATTTCCAGAAAGACTTCCTTTAAAACAAAAAAGTTATCTTAAGTCAAATTAACTTCCTGCTTCTAATTGTGTATATTCAAAACCTATTTTTGAGCACAAGCATAAAGATGATGTAACCTTCCTTGCATTGAACTTGAATGCTACATATTTTGTAGTACTAAAATTCCAAGAAAAAAATATTTAAAATTGGTTTTTGGCAAGTGTACACTTGTTGGGTTTTTTTTCCAGAGGGTCTAAATCACTGATTTAGTAGACAGGGCAAGCCTCTCTATTTGTTCTCTCTTTTCTTTGTTTCTTTAAAACCAAACAGCTGACCCTGTGGAAACATTGTAAGTATGCCCCAGATGGAGACTAATGCAGCGGCGGGTCTCTGGAGGCTGAGAGCTGGGTGCAGTACCTCTGAAATGAGAACTGAGCATCTTGGTTTTAACTGGAGCTTTGGCTAACTTCCCAGTCCTGGTAATTCTTAAACTGGCACATCCAGTTTGGGCACGTGTCCTCTGGGCTGTAAGGGCTTTAGCTGAGTGCAGGGTAGCAGTTCCTGAAGGTGCACACAAGGAAGCAGGCCAGCTCTGGCAGCGGGCAGGAGCAGCCAGGGCGCGGGGAGGCAGCTTGGGCCTCGTCCCTCCGTGTCGACACGGGGTGCCTGCAGTGTGCTTGGAGGAGGTGTTGCATCTGGGGCACTCCTCTGCTAGGGCCTGATGGACCTGACCTTCATGAACTTTTCTAATGCTAGTTTTAACCTGCTGATACTTGGACTTCTGCCATTTTCTATAGTGCAACATGTAAATGTTCTCAAGGGTGACAGCTAGGACCTTTCGGCTTGTGTTAAGTTCTCCACCTGATGCCTTCAGTGGATTCATCCTGTTTCCTGTGTCCTGCCAGCAGTGGGTGAATCATTCCTCATTGATGCTTTCCATGGCCTGTGAGAGCTCTCTCATATCCTGCCTTAACTGTCCCTGATCCCTCCCAGCCCAACGAGACTTCATCCATTTGGTGTCTCCTTACACAAAAATCTTTCCATGATTATCTTGTTACTTTTGTCTGTGCCTTTTCAGGTTCTGCTATAACTAGTCTGTGAGATGACTGACATCCTGAATTCCTCACAGTGATTTCAGGGTCACTTACCACAGTAATAACAGCTAATCTTAGAGGCTGTGCCAGCGTATACATACATAGCTGCTGGTGCTTTTTCTTTCCCCAGTGTTCACTGCCTTGCATTTACTGGTGTTTGATTTCATCTGCAACCACTGTCAGGTCTTTCTGCAACTCTTTTTGACTACCCAGAATAATTCTACACCAAAAATGCCTTTTTGTATCTTTTTTTTTTTTCCAGATTTAGTGTATCATCTAGCTATGATATGGGTTTTAATGTATCTGGAATTAGAGCTGTAGTTTGGTGAATATGATGAATTTTCATCTCTGATGTTTTTAATACTAGAATTTATTTTTAGGGTTTTTTTGTGGCTTTAAAATTATTTTTTTCATTTACATAAAGGTTATATTTATCCATAGGAAGGTTAGCAGAGAGCAACTGAACAGTGCATATACATGAATTTACTCGTATTGCATCATCCTTTTCTACTGCTTATACAGAAAGTTTCCTGTTGAATTCCCTTCAGGGCACTATAGCAACTGATTTTTGTTTCTTTGTTTGTTTTTTCCCCAGATCACCTGACTTTACTCATTAGGGTTTGGTTTTCTTTTTACCAGATGCAATGGGCATCTTCAGGGTTTTGACAACTTTAAATCATGTATTGACAATTTCAGCAGAGTTGTTGGTATCACTGAAAACCTGCGAAGACAGAGTGTGTGCCTGGCAAACTGAGCGTGGCAGACAGGGAAGAGTAGGGAACAACCATTCTCTCCTGGAGGGTTTCTGGTGTTAATGAAAGCCTTACAGCTCTACTATCACTTCATTGGACCTTCTCCAGAATTGAGAAGCCAGATAATTGAAGCCCAGTGGGCTGACATCAAATTTGTTAGAGCTTATTTTCAAAATTATAGGTATGGTCAGTGGAAAACTGTCTCTCAGAAGCTTATCATAGAATCAGTAAGGTTGGGAAAGACTTCTAAGATCATCAAGTACAACCATCACCCAACATTACCATGACCATTAAACCATGTCCCCAAGTTGCCACATCTACATGCCTACATGTTTTTTGAACACCTCCACGGGTGGTGACTCCACCTCCCTGGGCAGCCTGTTCCAATGTTTGTTCACATCCCTTGTGAAGTTGGTGCATTTATTTAACTGTTTGAAACACAGGAAAGGAGGACTCAAGGTAAAGCAGACTTCATCTTTAAAAAGATGGAAATGTCAGAAATGTCTTCCAAAGATGGAGAATGTCAGAGGTCTTTCTGGTTTTCTGTGTTTGGCATCAATGTCCTTTGCAATTTTCATGAAATGTGCATACTGAGTAAGTCTGGATTGTTGTTACTCCCTTTTCCTTCATTTAATGCAATAAAATATTGCTTGTTGTTTGTAACTTGGAATGTCGTGGGAGACTGCATTTGAAATAAATTTTAAGGCTAATTTTTAAAAAACTGGGAGAGAAAGTTCTGCATGAATCTTTGTGTTCTGGTGCACTAGTTTCTCATCCATTTTTTCAAGTTATAGCCAAAAAAAAAAAAATTTGGAAGAAGTGAAGAATAGCTTTGACCAGTGGCCATCTCTACTGTATGAGAGAGCCAGGGTTTAAACACACACTTTTCCCCTTTTACACTAGTCCAGAGTGAGGAATTGATGTATGACAGCAGTAGGGGAGGAAAAAAAGTAACATTTTTCTGTGCTTACTCTAGCAGGAGGAGAGGAGGCTGCAGAGCCTTTTCTGTTCTGGGTGCTCATTAGTCCTTTCTGCCCTTCCCCGTGGTCACAACCTGCTTCTATCTGCCTCTACAGTCTTTCAAATTTAGTATTTTCCTTTTCTTATAGCCTGTCCTTTTACTGCAGCTTTATTTTGTTTTCATCCTGTAACAGAGGAGTGTAGAGGACACAGCAAGCAGCCTTATGGTTTCAGTTTTGGATGCTTTTCTTGCCACTGGAAATGGCAGAGAAGAATCAGTTAAATCTAGTGATCTCTTTTTTTGCTTAAATGCTCAGCTTTGATAATGAGTTGAACCTTGCTTTTCAAATGTCAATTTTCAGTACAAGTGACATGTTCTTCAGAAGTTCTTAATTAGGTGAAGCTGTGGCCTGATTTTCCTCAGGATGTCCTTTTTTTTAGGGACGTTTCTTTTGACAATTCCCATGTTTCAGGTTCTTCAAAACACAGAAGTGTGAGAACTTACCCTTCTAATAATTGAATAATTCTTCGACTGTGACAGACTTGTCTCAAAACTCATTGGAAAGTGCTGAAAAACTGTTTTATTGTCTGAAACATAATACTCAAGGAAAATATCCAATTAACTTCTTCCAGGTCAAACAGCATTGGAATATTTTGGGGTCATTTCCACCCAACTGTTAAAGCAGTAAGCACAAAAAAAAAAAAAGTAGGTGCAAGGTCTCCCTAACTAGAGGCATCACTATGAGGCCTGCATTTAATGAATCTGTTGGAAAGGTTTGTTTCCTCTTCTGAGAATGGTTTAGCTTTGTGCTTGTCATTTTGTGACATGCATTGACCAGAAATCCAGATTCACTGCTGGTGCACTCAGGAGAAATAAGCTGGGTGGTTTTGTGTCTGTGTGGCAGGGCCATGGGCTGGCTGCTAATTCCCAGCTCCCACCACTTCCACACAATGAACTGAGTTTGGGGATTATTTTTCTTCTTAAACCAGTCACTTCTTTAGTCTAACTGACTTGGTGTTTTGCAGTCGGTCTCCAAGTTTCTCTAGTAGCAGGATTTCCTGTGTACTGCTGTTCTGTTGTCAAAACCCAAGAGTTAAAAATGGAAAAAAAAGCAAGTATGAAGTTTGCTCAATGCTTAGCTTCCCCTCAGTCAAGAATGGTGTGGGGTTGGGGCTTTTTGTGTTAGCTTCTTGCTGGGTTGTGCCCTTGTGTGACCGTGTCCCACCTCTGCACCGTGTGATAGCGACTGTGGTGTAGAGGCCCTGCTGTGAGGACCAGCCATGGATGCTTCTACCCCAGAGGAATTCACCTGTGTGCTGCATGAAGGTACCATAGTTTCCAGCTAACTCAGCTGTCTTTGCACCATAAGGCGGACGAGCACAATGTCATCTTTATTTCTCAGAGTAGCTTTTGTGTGGTTTGGCTGTTGAAACAAGCTTTCCATACAGAGGAACTTCTTTTCTTTGTGTCTACCTCGATACAGGATTAGTGAAGTAAATTAGACTCCGAGCTGTAAATAAGATAGTTGTGCAGAAGCATCCATGAAGGGCATCCAGTTTGGCAGTGTGTTTTAATACACCTTTTTGTGCAAGTAGCTTATTTTTGGTCATGTCTGAGATCTACCAACCACCTCCATCATGGGGAGTTAGTCATCAACACAGCAAATTAATATTACAATTTAGAAAGAGTAGGGTGTAATAAAAAGCTTTTAACACAGAGTGGGATAGGTGATAAAAGGTAATTAGTACATAAAGGTGTTATCTGTGAACTTTAAAAATTGTAATACAAAATAAGAGGTTGTTTCTACAGTAAGAACCATTTAAAGGCGATTAAATGTTTCTGAAAATGCCATGTTTCTGAAAATTATTTGGTATCTTGAGAAATGGCCATCAGTCAGTAAGTCTCCAGTTTTTTTATATACACCAACGTGTCTTTGGCCGTTACATTTCCTTTTTTAAAAAATTTTCTTCTTTCCTGAACTGTTGTTTATGCTGTTATATTTTGGTCTGGGACATAGATACAGATCTGTGTAGTGGTTTAAGAAAGTTGCCATCTGTCAGCTACACAGACTGTCCCACAGCTGTTGTCACCTGGCAGCTGCAGATAGGTAACCTCCAGCTAGAAGAAAATCCTTTGAAACATTAATTAATGCTTGAGAAGATAATGCTGAGACAGCTTTGCAGACTCCTGGCAGAGTATGTCTTCATTTCCACCACAACTTTTAACTTCTCATTGTGCAGCCAGTGGTGGCACTGCTTTTGCTGAAGTTCAGCCCCTTCCCCACTTCCTCCAATGACAGCAAAGCAGCTGTCCCGTTGATGAGAAAGAAAGGGAGGTATTTCCATTCCCTTTTAATTTGTTGATCAAGTTATCCAGTGATATGAAATTTCCTTGTTTGCCAAACCAGGAGCAAAGATGCTCCTATTTTCTTGCAATGTGATCTTAGTTTTGTCCAAAAGTTAGAATGATTCAAGTGCCCAAGAGAATCTAGAAGCTCTGTGTATTATATGCTGACTTTGTTCCTTGTCAGGACAGTTCTACACAATGATTACATTTTATTTTCCTGAGGAGATCAGCCAACTGTTCACTTTCAGTGGCATTCCCAGTGCTGGATACCCAGACAGGCTAGAACCAAGGTGACACTCATGCTGTGACCACTTAGATGCACTTAGTTTACATATGTCATTGAAAAGAAAAAACTACTTTCTGTAACTTGTAACCCTAGACCTGGCAGACCTTGTAGCTCCAGCCAGAGCAATAGTTTTCCACCTTGGTTTTGGATCGTCTGTAGAGTTTTGTAAGAGTAGACTTTCTCAGTTACCTTTCCTGAACCAAGTCTCCATAGAGAGAGTGTTCTTTTAAAGCACAGATGCCACCTGAGCCATCTGGTGGGCAGAGAACAATCAGTGGTATATTTAGTGTAAATACAGGGGGGTTTAGCTTCACCTTATTCAGTACAGGATGGGCATGTTTCCAGAATTTAAGGATTTTTCTTAAATATTTCATCTCTGATTCAGCTCTGTCATTAATAAGAATGTTCTGCTTGTAAAAATAACTGTGGATAATTAAAAATATGTTTGAAAATGCCTCTAAATACACTAGCACTTACCATTGCTAAAATGTGGCAGCCAGTATAGCTTTATTGGAAAACCATTTTATTTTTTTTTTTTTTTCCCCCCCTCTGAATTAATATTAATTTAAACTGGGTGTAAGGGTGATTGCCTCTCAAACTCTTAAGAAGTGGAGTTTGTATCCAAAGATTCCAAGTGTTCTGGTACTGTATTGATTCATATGAGAACCTGGATGCATTCAGGCAGGAAAGTGGTGTGTGGTCTCTCACAATATTGGTATCATACTACTTTGCTACTTCATTGAACTGCCAGCTCATAAAACATTTCTAAGGAGTATCTGGTAAGGTCATGTGATAAGGTTTTCAGACTAGAAGGTACATTCTTGGAGAAATATCAGGCTTAACTAGTGTGAGCTGTAGGGTGGTTTCCCGTCGGGTAGCAGAAGTGCAGAGTCTCTGCAGTTTCCAGTGCAAATGGCACACGAAGCCAGGTGATCCTAGACTTCTGTCCTGAGCCCACACACGCCTGCTGGTAGTTCTGAACCATATTCAAACTTGCATAAGCAAGCATCTGTCCTTCAAAAATATACCATGAAACACAATATTCAGTTGCTGAGTCTTTTTATCTCTTCACAGTAGCTAGGCAGAACAGAGTAAAAATAGTGCTTGGTGGCTCAGTTGTGTTTGGGGACAGAAAGCAAGCCTTTCTTAGTGTTACACACTCAACAAAGATGGTGCTTTCTCTGTGAGTGGTTTTGTACTTGCCACTACATGGTTTAACTTCAATCTACAGTACAACAGCTGGACTTCAAGACAAAATACTTTGCTATTGTCTTTGGCACTGTTCTTAATATGTACACTGAGGACTTGAGCTACTTACTGCACCACCAGCTATTTAATAATATTTGTCTTTGGCCAAAGACTTTTCTTCAAACTGTATTTTACCCAACAGTTTCACTAGAGCATGGAGAACTCCAGTGTGAAAAAGATGTAGGTAGAATTGCTACAAAGGCTACAGAAATATCTTTGAAATCATGTTGATGCCATAGTTGATAAATAAAATTGTTCTCATACATATGTGTGTGTGTGTGTGTATATATCTTTTTCATGTATGTTGTGACCCTAATTGTGGGCAGATGTATTTAGTGACTGTGGGTCTGCTGAGTTCAAGTTGTCCACGCTGATGTTTGTGTAAGAGTTGGGAGTTGGACTTGATGATGTTTGTGGGTCCCTTCGAACTTGAGGTATTCTGTGATTCTATAATACTGAAGTTATCTTTTTGTACCAAAACACCATTGTTTTTAATTGCCTCGTTAGAGCAATGCTTTGCTGCTTTTCTCCTCAACTTACAGCTTTTTTCCATGCATCAAACTAAGATGAGGAGGTACAAAAGACTTCGCAACAAGGCAAACAGTAATGGCAACAAAAGCATTCTTCAGAATGATCTTATTTCTGTAGTCTGACATTCTCATATCTGTTCAGGCACTGCCCGTGTGGTTGTGGTGTTACTGCATTGTTTTCAGTCTAATCAGTTGAGACTGAGAATGAAAGGAAAATTCCACAAATGAAAATAGAAGCATGATGCAGATGACAGGGTAAATGGGAACTCGACTGAAAAGAGAAACTTACAGTAAAGGTCTTATGCTTCAGAGCATGAACTTTTCAGGCTAGCCTGATACACAAATCTCTTCTGCATTGGCCTCCTAGTGAAATGTAGTGGGTATGGAAGTTCTTGTGTATATCAAAAGTCATTTAGTGTCTACTGATGTTTCATAATTACTGTAAGATTTGAAATTGTTTTGAAAAAAAAATAATCCAGTGAGGTATGGTGGGTTATTTGGGAGTTTCTGCATGTATGTATCTTGGTGGATTCTGCCCTGGGTATCTGATTTTCTAAGTAAACCTAGTGTTCAGTGTAGAAGTACCGAAACAGGAGTAATTCTTCCATTGGGATTTTTAAAATAGAGCACCAATATTTGAGTACACTCAATTACATTGTCAGTTTTCAGTGTAAAACCTGCCTTGGAAATTTAAGACAAAGATGCTGTCCTCTTTTGAAAAGCACAGAGGCCTTGTTTTCTGGGATACAGAAGAGCTCTTGGTACTTAGTGATGTCATTACATGCCTTCTGCCTGAAACTGTTTCTTCACAACTGTAGATGAACCTTTTCATTCAGTCTCTTTCAGTCTCTTTTCTTTCTGTTTCAGTGCATGAACTTCATTGCTTCCTGGTTTCTGTTTTTTTAAGGGTAGTATTCTATGTAAAAAAAGAAAAAAAAAAAGAAAAAAAAAAAGGAAAACCAGTAATTTAGTAACTTTTATCAAATGCTGTAGTACAGCATCTGATAGAAGCTAACAGTGCCTAATGTCTTCTCTGTGCATCTGGAAAATTCCAGTTTTGTATCCTCAAAAACTACGTGATTGAACCACGCAGTTAGATTTGTACCAAACTCTTGTTCTCTACATTTTGGAGTTGGTTAGGTCAGAAGGAAAAGAGTTTTGGTCTTCACATACAAAATGCGTTTCCTAAATTTAATTTTTGTTTCTTTGGTAGGATTTTTCCAGTTAAAGATGTACCTGCAGAGCCTGAAGCTCTTACACACTGGCTGTATCAACGATTCATTGAAAAGGAAGTTCTCTTGACACATTTCTATGAAACAGGTAGGATGACATCTAACAAAGAGAATTGTGCTTTGTTGGTGTCTGTTCTTAAAAGGATCTCAAAATGCCAGAAGGATCTAAAATAGTTTAACAATGCATATACATTCTTTGCACAAAACAGTAGATATAATTATTACTATCGTTTTTTGTGGCAGAAAAAGATGAGAAAACATGATCTGGGAAAGGTAACTTACATTAAAATAGGGAAGACTTTGGAAGCTGGAACATTCATAATGTATCTAAGGAAATACTCTTTTTTTTTTTTTCTGTAATAACGTGCAGTTCAGTTGAAACTTGCTGCCATGGGACTTAGTTGAGTGGAATAGTTTAGCAAGATGTGAAGAGATAGTGAACATGCACAGCAAAAGCATGCAGAGCTTATGTTAAGTTTGGAAGGGATATAAAAACATTCAGAGTTTAAAAGGAGCAAATTCTTGACTAAAAGGGGTTAAATAAGACTTACCTGAGGCAGGTTATCTTGTATTCTTAGTGTGGCTATTTATCAGGTTCCTCTGGTACTTGTACTGTTAGAGAAAACTGATCTAAGTAGGCTGCAGGTCTGATCCACAGCAGAGTCCTCTTCTGTTTCTGTTAAGCTAAAAATTTAAAAGTCCAGGTAAATACTTTGAAACTGTAGCTGGAGAAGGTGTTTCCCCAAGGCCTTTTTTTTTCTATCCAGTTGATACTGAAGTGTGTTATCTGCCCACCAGCAGGTGTGTGTGTCTGTGTGTGTTCAGAAGAAAACAGAAATTTATCATAATGAAAGAAAATCCAGAGAAGAAAAATATAGAGGTTCATGCCAATGTGCAGGAAAGGAGGCTTATAGAACATAAACTGAGGAGGAAGATGCCAGATGAAACAGTGCAACTTGTCTCTGAAGAAACGTAATCTCTTCATTAGCAAGTAGCACAGTTGTTGAGGAGGGGGGAAATATTCAGTCCCTTGGATCAACTGAATTTAATATTCCAGAGTGACTATGTTAAACAAAGATACTACTTCTGTTAGATGAGTTATTGCAAATACTGCTTTAATTTGATTCTGAGTGATTAACTTGTCAATTGTAGTGCTTAAAAAGATTAATAGAATTCTTTAACAACCCAGAGTTGTATATTGTTTTATGAAATACTGCTGTCAGTCAGCCATCACTGATGGCAAGAGTCAGTCCCTGTTATATAAATCACATCCAAATGCATGTGTTCATCTTCTTTAGAAAAATAACTCTGTGAATCTGTCAAAACTATAAGTGTAGGCAGTAGGGGGTAAAGAATTCTTGTTATTGAGCTGTTATTTCACAAATAACATTAAAATAAGTCATACCCCACAAACTCTAACTAGACCAGAACTTCAGAGAGTATAATTAATATAATCAGATTTAATCATTGAAATATGCTTCCAAAATAGGATAATTGGTTATAATTTACCCAAGCAATCATTATGAATTAATGAGACATATTTTAAGTGTAAATGCCATGACAGAGTACCTTATTAAGCATAGATTAGCATGATTTAAAGTTACTACCACTTTTGACAGTTGAGTACTTGCATTGCTTTTGTTTACTTACTGCAAAAGTGCTGTTAGAGTTTTTTGAAACCTCTGGAAAAGCCCTGAGGCCTAATGTGAGGGGAATCCTCAAAGCTTCTCAAGAGCTGGCTCTGTATTGACCTGTCACACTGGTTCATGTTGGTGTATTTTTAAGACTCGGGCCTGTTTCTGCACTTTGATTTTTTTTTTTTAAATTATTATTTTTTAAATACACACTGTTCAGGCATTTGTGTCAGTCCATAGAGCTTACTTCATAAAATTGGAATAACGTTTAATGGTACATGAAACTTTAAAAGTTTGCATTGATAGTCTATCAGTAGGAATACATTCTTCTGGCATACTTTTATTTGCGAAGAGGAAGAATCAAAATCTAAACCACCTTTTTTCCTTTTTGCTGTATTCCTAAGTGTTAAGATCTTTAATTGATCTGGGGAAAACCTGTAACATTACACCTCTTTGAAAAAAGAAAAAGTTTAAAATTTGAGTATGAAACTATCCCATCCTTCCTTACAGATACATTTTTCACATTTCATTTATAAAATCAAAGCCATTTATAGTTAATATCTGTAGGTATAAGCAACACAGACTCCTGTTTTAGTAGCTAGTAGAAACCTGGTATTGGCAAGTTCATTTTTCTGACTCCTGTTCTTACCTCTGCTGTCAAAGAGGTTCCAAAGAATGTTTATCAACAAGGTGATAGGCATTTTATAAATATAACTATTACAGAATCACGGAGTGGTTTGGGTTGGAAGAGACCTTAAAGATCATCTATTTCCAGCCTCACTGGCACAGACAAGGACAACTCCCATGGGACCAGGTTGCACAAGGCCCCGTCCAGTCAGGTCTTGAACACTTTCAGTGATGGAGCATCCACAACTTGCCTGGGCAACCTGTTCCAGTGTCTCACCACCCTTATAGTGAAGAACTTCTTCCCTGCATCCAGTCTAAATCTACCCTCTTTCAATGTGAACCCATTGCCCCTCCTCCTATCACTACAAGCCCTTGTAAAAAGTCCCTCTCCAGCTTTCTTGTAGGCCCCCTGCAGATACTGGAAGGCTGCCGTAAACCCTTCTCTTCTCCAAGCTGAACAACCGCCACTCTGTCAGCCTGTCCTTGTAGGAGAGGGGTTCCAGGCACGTGATCATCTTCGTGGCCCTCCTCTGGACCTGCTCCAACAGTTCTTGTGTTTGGGCTCCAGAGCTGGATGCAGTACCTCAGGTGAAGTCTCACAAGAGCATAGTAGAGGGGGACAAGCACCCTTCTTGACCTTCTGGCCACACTTCTCCTGATGCAGCCCAGGATACAGTTGGCTTTCTGGGCTACACTTGCACATTGTTGGCTCATGTTGAGCTTTCCATTGATCAAATTGTATATATAATTTTTTTTATATATATCTTCAGTAGGATAACCTTGAACATGCAGTAAGACAAATGATTACATTTAGCAAGACAAAAGCACTTGGAGACTAATTAAAAAAAAAAATAAACTAGGAGCTTATCAGTTGGAAGTGAGTGATTGTATATGGAAGCCATCATGCTCCTCATTCACTCTGATCATAAGCCAAGTGGTGTGATGTAACTAAAAAAGTAACTAATGTCATCCTACAGGACAGCATGAGAGGGTTTTCACCAGTGCTACAGAACTACTTCTCATTTTACCAAATCTGAAACCTCATCTGGAAATTCTGCTTATGGGTCCATAATCCCCCTTCAAGAAATAGGAACTGAACTGGGAAGAGGGACAGATAGCAGGTGCTAAGATGATGTAGGGGAAGGAAGAGTTGTTTCTGTGAAGGACAGTGTCCCGGTTCGGCTGGGACAGGGTTG